CGACAGTGCGCTTTGAAGAATTCCATAATCTTATATTTATGTATAAAGTCGATTTTCTTGTATATGCCCTTTTAGCTACCGTTATTGAGTTTCGTCAAATCATAAACTTCACATATTAAATTAATTAACCTTCTTCATTTCACCGAAGTTGACATAAGACCATAACTGCAGTGCCTTGGGAATCACGTTCGGAATACTGTAGCAGGATAAACTCCTACTTATCCAGAATCGACCCCAACATACAGTACCAATTATATGTCCAGCATGCTACGAGGCCTACCATTAGATGACCTCGATGGCAACCTCCCTGAATAATCTGCCAAAAATTATGTCGATCGAGAAACCTGCCGATTTCGTTTCTGTGGACAACCGCACCTTCGTTAACTTCAACAAAGCTAACTGGGTCGGCTTCACAGAATTTACTGAGAACACCTTCAACGCTCTACCCATTCCTACGGACGTATCCGTTGGCGAACGTCGATTCCTCATGGTAATTGCAGCAGCCACGCTTCATTCACGCTGGAAGAATTGCGGAACTCCGCCCAAATTTCCCAGCCGAAACATCCGCTCTAGCTAATGAGCGCGACACCCTATGCAATGCCGATCCCGGGGATCCTCGAATAAGGGATCTCAATTTGGATTTTCGGCGATTGGTAAACCAACATAAGCGGACGAAATGGATAGAGCACCTGAAGTCCTGGGTTCCTATTCTGTAACTCGATTCGAAAAAAAATTAATCGAATTCGAATTTTTTATATTCTGTAACTCGATTTTCGGATTTTCAAGCCAATTTTGGAATAAAATATTCGTTAGCTTTTGAGTTGTAGAAAGCAAAAACGAAAATTGTACGTATTTATACTGGCATAGGGTGGTATAACTTTCGCATAATTATAAAGTAGATCCGAATTTCGAATAGAATACATTTACGAATCGAGATACAGAATAGGGCCCTGCAACCTCTCCACCGGTGTGAGTAATAGCAGAAACAGCCAAAACCGCTACTCGCTTCCTTCCTTAGCGAGCAAAATGTGTCCAAAGTCGAGCCCGTGGTAAAACCGCAGAAATCAGCCATCTTTGTTTGTTTTCATTTGAACAATGTTGCCATTACTCAATACTCATATATAGTTTTGTACACATCTAAGTTTTCAATTAAATTTTTTCATAATATTATATTAAATATCAAAACTGCCTTGTCTAACCAGAAGAGGCAGGTTGATCGAATTGACGTTGAACTCAATGACCATGCCTCTACGGATTCGAAGAAGTGCGCACACAAAATCATGCGATGTGTTACCCGTCGGCTGCGCAAAATGGCAAAAGAATGCTCGCCACTTACTTTCACCGATGAGGAGGTTCTGGATCTCATCAACAAAGCGAAATCATCCAAATCCATTGACCCTGATGGAATAAACATGCTCATGCTAAAGCATCTAGGCTCGACGTGAGTAAAATATCCTCAACCTGGCGCTGACCACTCTTCAAATAACCAATGTGTGGAAAATCGGAATAGTGGTCTCCCTACTGAAACCTGGGAAGCCCGCCAGCAAAGGAGAGTCCTATCACCCAATAACTCTTCTCTCCACAGTAGTGAAGACACTTGAAGCTTTGCTATTCCCGACTTTCTCTCACCACCTGAGCCTTGCCAACCACCAGCATGAATTCCGAAAAGTGCATAGTACCACCACACTTAGGTCATAAACGCTCAGATAGTTCGTGGCCTCAAACAGAAACCACCCTGCGTGAGAACGTTCCTCGTTGCGTTCGACTTGTCAAAAGCTTTTAACACAGTCAACCACACAACGCAACTGACATCGAACAAACTACGCTCTATCCTGGACTGAAGAGGTGGACCATCAACTAACTGTTTGGTCATCAATCATCCGTACTATTTTGAGGAGAAAAATTTAAACTGAGAAGAATTAAACAGGGGGTTTCGCAGGGTGGTGTCCTCTCCTCACTACTGTTTAACTTCTGCATCTCGAAACTCCCACATCTACCAGAGGGAGTTTCCATAACCTCGTATGCTGATGATTGTAAGATATTTTTTTTTTTCTCTGCACGGAACCTAACACTCTCCCCTACCAAATCCAAAGCGACCATATTCACGAACCGGACGAAGATATTGCATATCGACGACATCAAGATTCCGACTGTCAATAACCCTAAAATTTCAGGTGTAACTTAAACCTTCACTCCTCACACCGCGATTATCGCCAAGATGAAGAAGCTACAGACCTGGCAGAACAGTGCACTCCGGACCACAACAGGATGCCTCTTGATGTCTCCCATCGAACATCTACACAGTGAGACGCGTATGCTCCCAGTTTAGGAGCATAATGAACTCCTTTCCAAGCAGTTCCTGCTGCGATGTTTTCGCAGATCACAGCCAATTGCAGACGAAGAGCTCCAGTCCGCGACTGACCCTTGCACAGCATCGTTCTGGATATTGTAGCAGATTAACCTCCTAATTGTCCAGAATAGACCCTGACATATCCGACATATGACCTGGGTGCAATGAGTCTCCGCATGACACAGACCACCTCTTTGCATGTCCCACTAACCCCACTTATCTGACACCCTTTTCCCTTTGGTCCGACCATGTCGAAACAGCACGTTTCCTCGGACTCCCGTTAGATGATGTCGACAACTTGGATAATCTTCACCAACCTAACGAGGATTAGATAACTTCCTTAAAACAGCAACAAACCTCTGAACCTTACCACCAAAGCTTAGATTATATAACCAACAAAAACCACAAAACGCTCTTTAATTGCCGGTACTAAAAATTGTTAACTCCCAAAGCCAATAAGTGAATTTATTGATCAAGCGTTAATTTCTACTGATTATTTGAGATTTTTCAAATATGTAACCAAAACACGAATATAACTGAACAGTGTTCAACCCAATTTCATCAAAATATCTCATTTCTCAGTGACTATTAGATCTAGCAGAATTTTTTTTTTTTCAAATTTACAGCTATAACTTAGATAATCAACAAAAGTGGTAGTGCGTTTTTATTGACCGGAAGTGTATACGGAGAGAGAGATAGAGAAAATGCATTTATTCATAATTTGTTTGTATTCTCTAAATTATATTTATTTATTAATTTTAGGTTTGTTTATAATTTATTGCTGCATTTGTTTGTATTTTTTCGTTTAGCTTGATATTTGTATTTATTTTTTAATTAAATGTATTGTTTATGCTTAATCGTATATTAATTGCCAAATATTAAATAATTAAATATAATTAAATTATTTAATTAACATAACGTATGAATTAACTGTTTTTTACAAGCGTACAATATCTATATATATATATGCATATGTGTGACACATTTCGCACAATAAACAAATGCGAAATCTAAGAAAAAAAGAACTATATAAATAATAACTCCGCTAAAAAATTGGTTGCAATAGTCAAAGTATAACATTTCTTTACATATACTATAATATACATGTATGTATACATACATAAATATATATGTTTATATATATATATATAGTATATATATATAACTAAATATATACTCAAATGAGTGTGCTGTGAGTGATTTTGTATTTTACTACATACACATGCATATATGTATGTTTGTTTGTGTAGATTGATTCACTTTTGCTTTTTAAGCAAGTCGTAATGGTATGCTGCGCACATGCGCTTACGATAATTAGCGCATTTCACATTCTCACAATTCGTATTTAATAATGTGTAATTATTTTTTTTTTTTTTTTGCTTTCGAAAATTACAAGAGTAGCAATTCCTTCCAGCATGTACATGTACCTGCAACAAGCAAGGCAAATTAGAGCAGCAAGAATAATATGTATGTATGCATGTTTTTAGTTCTCGAAGGGAATAAATAAATAATAAAAAATATACATATATATATACTAAAACAACCTAACGCCCAGCAATGTGCGTCGACACCTTCGGGGCAGGGTGAGTTCTGAAATTTTGTTTTCGCCAACGGCGAAAAACACAGCACTAAATTGATTGCAAATTTTGTTAATTTTTCTCTTTTTGTTTTAATTGTTTTAGGTTAGCTTAATTTTACTTTCAATACGAGCTATTAGTACATACACGTGTATACAATAAACACCTGGAATCAAAGTTGGCTGTTTAAAGGCGTTCGTTTTGTAGTAGAGTGTGGCGCTGAATTTGCGGAAAGAAAAGCGCGAATATTGTTATTTAATTTAGTTTTGGGGATTCTCATTGTGTATGTATGTCTGTATGCATGTTGTATGTGGTGCTTAAAAATAACTACTAACAACGACTTTAGCCACTTAAATAACAAACATATACACATACATATATATATATATGTATGTTTGTAGGTTGTAGGATGACTAGGGTAGAGTGGTGTTTAACCGAATTAATGTTTTTTATTTTTGGTTTTGCAATAACATTTTGATAAATATGCTTCAAAGTGGGCACTTTTAGATTTCATTATCATGCGAAAGTGTCCGTTTCAAATATATGTAGTTGGATCTTATGCAATAGAATTCATCAAAACCTTCTATACATCTATATATAAATGGTACATAATTTTAAGGAAATTAATTTCAAATATTTTACCGATTAAAGGATATTTATTTACAATCCAATTCATGCATACATATGTATATCGGCTTACTACTTTTTTTAAGCATCTTTAACCCTCAACCCTAGAATTGTTTAGAGATAGTCAATTTGATGTTTTGATTGCCGTTAACAGTGTGAGATGAGCGAATAACGGTAATGGGCGTTCATTATATATATGTTTGTTTGTTCGTTTCTTTTTTTTTAATATGCACGTGTTGCTGTTGGGGTATGTGTCAGGAGTAAACGAATTTACTCGTACTTTAGTTTGTTCAAAGTATAATATTATATAATACCTTAGATTAAATTTTCGTATTTTGTTTGCATTTGCAAATACAATTATTTTGAATATTTTTGAGTTTCCTTTTTTAATAATCTTTTTTTGTTTTGCTTTGTTTTAATATCTGCTTTTTTCTTATTCTGTTTGCTTATATAATTTTTCATTATACATTTTACGTACACACGTACACACACTAACACACACCACACACACATACACTTCAGCCAACTGTCGCTACTGTGCGCCCAATCGTTGTTGGTTCACTCTATTCATTTATATATATTTATTTATTTACATCAGTTGCCGATCTACGCCGATTTGCTGCTTGTTGCTGATGTTGGTGTTGTTGTTTGGCAGCCTTGGCTAACGCCGAAATTAGTTGTTGATTTAGACTGGCATTGCCGGTTGTGGTTACGGTTCGTCCTGCAACTTGTATATGTTGTTGTTGTGATTGCTGTGTTGTTGGCGCCGCGGCTAAATGCTGACCTATTATAATCGTTTGCTGCTGCTGTGGCTGTTGATTCTGGTGCGTGGTTTGCGTTTGAGAGGCAGCCGTTGCAGTCACTTGATTTAATATGCGCGCATGTTGTTGTTGATGTTGCTGTTGTTGTTGTTGTTGTGGCGTTTTGATAGTTTTCAGCTGCAATTTTTGCGTCGACATCACAATGGGAGTGGCAGTTAGATTTGTGGTTGTTGTAATGGTGTTCGCATTCGATGCTGAAAATGGATTTAAGACGAATAAGAAATCAGGAGATTAGAAAAATAAGCTAGCATTATGACACTTAATTTTTTATTTAGAACATTTGTGTAGAAGCAATAATGTCATAGAAAGATTTATAGATATAATATATCTATAATATATATTTATATGTATAGATTTAAAGAGATATAAAACTTAATAAGTTGATATTTTTACTCTTCTAATATAACATCCGCATGTCACCCCCTCGATCAGCGCAATATAAAATAAATATCAGGTTGTTTATTTGATTAAGATTCAAAAAGTGAGTGAAAAATCCGACTTCGGAAGTGACGACGTTACTAAAATTGTTGACAAAAAAATTCAAGAAAAATTCGACAAAAAACGGTAAAAGAATTTAGAAAGTAGTTCGACGCGAAATAACTATGAATGTAGGGTATAACTTTCTTTACAACAATTACTTTTCTTAAACCATATCTTTTCTGAATTTGCAGCTTCATCTTTTCCATTTTACTGAGATTTGTTAAAGTTAAGAAAACTTTCATTATGAACTTTTTATGATTAAATGTTAAAGTAAAAACTATTTAGTGATGTGTAAATGATTATATATTGAATAATATTAGTGTAAAATGCATAATATATATATATATAAAATTATTTAAGATTGTGTATTATGCTCCGTTAAAAAAATATCTTACCATTCATTGGCGTTGTAGCGATTTTCAGCGTGGAACCGCCTATATTCCTTTGCGTTGCAATCAATTGCCGTTGCGCGCCGCTCAGTTGCTTTGTGCCCACAACTATATTACGCGGCCGTTGCTGTATGGTGCCGACCAATTGAATTGCCGTCTGCTGGCCACTGCTGACTATGCTGCTGCCACCAGCCGCACTACTACCCGCAGCAACACCACTCACATTTATTGTCGTTGTTTGCTGTTGTTGCGATTGATGTCCTTGCTGCTGTTGCTGCTGCGTCACTTGCTGTTGTTGTTGCTGCTGCTGAAGAACTATGCTGCCACCTGCAACACCCCCACCACCACTTGAGGTACGAATTGTTTGAGGATTGAGTTTTTGTACACCGGGACCAACAAATTGAGCTGGAATTGAAAGGGGAAGTACGCGGGTTGTTGTTTTGATTTTTTGTTGCTGATTTATTGGTTAAATGAATTGGCTGGCGGATTGATTGACTGACGCTAGGTTATTATAAATCTGTTTGTCCTTTTTGTTAAATATGTCACGAAAACATTTATATATATATACATATTTTTTTTGTGGGGGGATGAATATTTAATGAGTATAAAAATGTTAGTAACATACTAAATATTACGAGTGCAGCGATGTTTATGGGGAATCGAATCTAAATGTGATTCGGGCAAGAGCAACGAAATGCAAGAGTTTGTAAGTGCTAGCTTATGGGTATTTATATGCTTGATATTAAATAAATATTACACATGTGTATGTACATTTGTTTTTGTATGGCAAAATGGTTGGAAGCTAAACTCTCATTTTATACTTTAATATATATATATAATTTTTTTTATTTACGGTGAAATTATGATAATGTGCAGTGTTAATATGTTGGTGATAATTGTGTTTAAGGATATAAGCAGTATTTTCGAGGATAGGAACGGAATTTTCGTATATAAGCAATGAAAAATGTGAAAAGAAAATAGAATTAGTGTAATTTCGTCAAGTTGAAGAATCGTAGTGTTTAGTGGTTTTCTTTTGTACGACAAATATAATAAATAATTATCATCTAAGGAACCATATAAATATATGAATGCACATATACCATATATTAAAGAAGTACTATCATCAGTTAAAATTAAAGTTAGCTTTGGTTAAACAAAAGCTTTAATACAATATATATGTATAAACAGATACAAACGTTATTTACAAGGACTGTGATCGGTCAGTTTGTATCGCAGCTATATGCTATGGTGACTCGATGTGAACAATTTCTTCGGAGATTGCAACATTCGCTTAGGCGATAATTTCTTAAAATATGTATATCATACAACACTTGATACCGATCGTTTAGTTTGTATGGCAGCTATATGCTATAGAAATTCGGTACCGGCGGTCCCGACGAATGAGCAGCTGTCTTTAACCACGCAGCACCAATATGGTAGCTTGGATGCAGTGGTACGCAGATTAGGAAACTTCAAACCTGCCAAAATACTGCACTCCCGACCACGACGGGATGCTTTTGATATCTCCCATAGAACATCTCCATAGTGAGACGCTTATGCTCCCAGTGAAGGAGCATAGTGAACTCCTCTCCAAGCAGTTCCTGCTGGGATGTTTTCGTAGGAATCACCCTTGCAGCCATCTGCTTGGAGCGGAACCGCCTCCTAGGAGCATTAAAAGGTCTTTTCTTGACTACGTCGACGACGCCGTACAGTACCCTTCCTGTGAATGGCATTCTTGTGGTCAAATCACCACCTATCGCAGACGAAGAGCTCCAGTTGCTGCGAGAAACGCGAGTGACCCTAGCGCTACTTCGTTCTGGATATTGTAGCAGGTTAAACTGCTACTTATCCAGAATAGATCCTGACATACCCAATGTACTTCCTGCATGCAACGAGTCTCCGCATGACACTGACGACCTCTTTGCATGCCCTACAAACCCCACTCATCTAAAACCCTCCTCTCTTTGGTTCGACCCCGTCGAAATAGCACGTTTCTTGGGCCTCCCGTTAGATGACGTCGACGACAATGCAAATGACCCTTACCATCCTAACGGGGATTAGATAACCGTTAAAACAACAACGAATGAGCAGCTCAAAAAAGTACCATACAAGCACTTGATACCGATCCCTCTATGCTACAGAGATTCGGTACTTGCTGTAGCCCTCTCATAGGATGGTGTACTTATAGTCAAAACCACCACCCATTGCAGACGAAGAGCTCGAGTTGGCGCGAGAGTCTATAGCGACCCTAGCGCAGCTCGTTCTGTATACTGTAGCAGGTTAAATCCCTACATATCCAGAATTGACATACGAAATAAACGTCAAGCATCCAAAGAAACCCCCCATGACCCTAACCACCTCTTTGCATGCCCAGCAAATCCCATTCATCTAACACCTCTCTCCGAAAACGAATGAGCTGTTTGGGAGAAAAGAATGTGTGCAAAATTTCAGATCGATATCTCACATTGAGAAACCAGTTCGCAAATATACAGACGCACGGTAAGATATTGCTAAATTAACTCAGCTCATCACATTTATATACTTTTAGGGTCTTTTGACGTTTCCATGTTACAATATTACTTTTTATACCCAGAAGAGGATCCTTGATTTTGATCGGATAGTTAGTATTGCAGTTATTGGTGTAAAAAAACTTGCTGCTTTGGATTTCAGTTAATGTAACTAACTTTCAATAGATATTTCTGGTTAATTTAAGTACAAAAAAAAATATATATTCCTTTTGGTTTTCCTATATTCAGACTTCTAAGCAATTATTTTGTGACGCTAGAAACGTATCCTCAATGGTTATGTAGAATGCTGCCGAGTTAACAGATTTTGGAGGGCAGTTTTCCCCTACGTGGGACTACACTCCCATGGGAACGTTAAGGATTTAGCAGTGAACATATTTAGGTTGTTCTTTTAATATTTCCAAAATACGTATTCATTATTTGTTGGACAATAAGTCTTATTTAACACTTTCTAGCCCTGCGCATATTATTAGAAAGAACCATAAAAAATAAATTTTATTTATGTTGAAAACACCTACAACAAATAATAATAGAAAATTATAATTCCCCAATCTAATTTATTTCCATGGTCCACGCCGTCAGATAAGCTCAGTGCCGGGTAGAACGTGTTAAAGATCTCACTTATACTGTAATGTTCCAAATTTTACAACAACCGGTTGTACTATAAAAGCATACCCTCAACTTTACAGAATTATTATATATATATGCATTAATAATTCAGAGTTAGATTTCATTCTTGCTTCACTCATTAATTTCACTTAACCCTTTCATGCTCGATGTTGCCTATAGGCAACATTGTACATTTATGCTTCTAAGTCCCGTTATTTAAATTTTTTGGACGCATGGTTTTTTGCATTTCGTAGTCTGGTGTATTGTGTAAGCTTTCAATGAATTGTTTTAATGTAAGCTATGGAAGGGTTCACTTAGTAAATGTCTTTCGTAGAGTGAAATTGTCAACATCGCGAAAAAGGCGTTTACGCAAAAAGTGTTTAAAAAGATAGTAATAGCTGTTTTATTGTAAAACCAAGCGAACAACATAAATAAATAAAGGTACTTCGTTCTGGATATTGTAGCAGATTAAACTCCTACTTATCCAGAATAGACACCGAAATATCCAATGTCGTTGCATGCAAGAGTCCCGCTTGACACTGACCACCTCTTTGCATGCCCTGCCAACCGAACTCATCTAACCGCCCTTTTTCCTAATGGTCCATGAGGTCTTGAGATGCTCGAAACAGCACGTTTCCTGGGTTTCCCGCTAAATGACGTTGACGACAACATAGATAACCCTTACCATGCTAACGGGGATTGAGAAACCGTTAAAACAACAACAATAAATAAAGGTAAGATAGTTATTAAAAATAAGTCTTTGGAAAAGTGTTTAGTTTGTTTACAATAGTTTTGTAAAAGTGTAACTAACGAACCAGGTCACTAAGGACTTTGAAATTTTTATCACTTCCTACTTGAGATAAGACTAACATATATCTGTGCTATAAAATGTTTTAGCTCCGCCCATTTTAATTCGGGCAGGTGAGGGTTAATATAGAGCGAAAATGGCTTTAATTCAGTATTTATTTATGTTTTATTCAATTACATTATTTCATATAATAATAAAACTGAAACATAAACGGTTATGGACAGTAAATAAACCTCGGTTGTGGCACTAACAGGGCAATTTTTTTTAAAGCACGGCCGAAGGCCATCAACGCAAGAGTTCTTCTACGCGAAAAAAAAATTGAGTACACGCCGGTACTGGGCTGATCAGGGTTATTTTTTTGCAGCGCCATCGCATACAACCGATTAACTTAAGTGTTATATTAACTATTGTCGTTTATTATTAATTGAAGATGAAAGTTAGTATTAGAATTGGAAAAAATTCTGCGTTTGCCAAGTGTTTAAGAAAGGGAATAAAACTCGTGAATTTTGATATTTCATGAAGAAATATTCATTTGTACCTACATGTCGCGACGTAGAAGGTTTGTAAAATTGCATTTTTATATTATAAAATGTAAAATATATTTTGAATCGAAAAAATATGGACTTTAAATAGTTAAAATGTTCAGTCTTTAACTCGATTATGTCGAAAATTATAAGTTTCCCGCGGCCATAACTATATATATTCTCGATCTGGGAATGGGCATGGGTGGATATGCCCATTTTATGCTCGAAATCCCGAAACGGTATTCTAATGTTTTCCCAAAATTTCTTTAAATCTAAGAAATTTAACTGAATAACACTACAAATTGTACTTACCAATTGGCAGGGTTAGCATTGTTGTTGTAGTGCCGCCACCACCCACTGCATTTCCTACATTGCTACCAGCACCTGCGCCACCTGTCGCAGTATTCGTTAGAACTACAGTTTGTGTGCCAGCAGTTGTGGCAGTGCCACAAGTTGGCAGATTCACAATCGTACCCGTGGGCGGTACAACATGTTGCACGTGATTTTGTGTTTGCTGCGTCCCCGATGCCGCTTGCAGAGTTATCGTATGCTGCTGTTGTGTCGACTGTTGTGGTTGCTGTTGGCTGTGTGTTGAGACAGGAACTGATACCAATAAGCTGCGTTGCTGTATATGTGTTTGTTGACCCATACTACTGCTGCCAGCGCCACCAGCAACATTGTTGTTGGATGAAGCAGCGACACCACCACCACCAGCATTGCCACCGCCGCCGCTTACTATACACGACACAGTGGCAGCATTCGTTTGTGATGTGTGTTGTGGCTGTTGTTGTACAGCAGATTGCAATTGCAATGAGAGCGGTTGCGCCAAACCCGGTATTTGTAGTTGAACGTTCTGCAGGCCGGGGAAATTGGCTATGGCGCCTTGCAATAAATTAATACCTTGTAAGTTCAATGTGGTGGTAGTATTGGAGGCAGTAGATTGCTGTTGTTGTTGTTGCTGCTGATGATGATGATGCTGTGGCGATGGTGATGGCTGTGGATGTGGACTAGACATAGGTGAGTGTATGGATGGGGCAGCAGCTGGCGATTGCACTAGCGTTTTCGTTAGATACTGGGTGTGTGCGTGTGATTGCTGTTGTTGCTGCTGCTGTGGCGACATATTCGGTATCGCCGTCGCTGTAGTGGCACTATTGTTGTGCAAACGCTCAAGCAATACTTGATTTTGCGTTTGCGACGACTGTGAATGATCCGAACCGGATGGGGATGGTGTGGCCGCGCTGAGCAGTGTCAAACTGGTTGCGGTGCCCACCGAGTTGGTGGCACTAGTTGGCTGTGGCACGGCAAAACCACTAGCATTCGATGCATTCGAATCACTGCCCGGCGAAGGTGCTGCCACACCAACAACTATAGCGTTTGGCGGTGCACCCGTATTGCTCGAGTCGCGTCGCAATGCATTTGCCAATGCCACACGCTGTTGTTGCACGCCACTATTGAGTATTTTGATACTATTGCCGGTTGCACCGCTCACAGCGTTAACTGCATTCACTGTTCCACCACTACCACCCAAAGTGTTCACAGTGTAGCCAAAGTTTGCCGAATTTGGATTTGTCATAATGGCTGGCGGGGAGGCTAACTGTGAGGCGAGTGCCGACATTGAAACGCGTACCGTTTGATGTGTTTGCTGTGCTTGTGTGCCTGTCGTTTGTTGTTGCGATTGCTGCCCATCCGTTTGATTTTGGTGTTGCGTTGCTTGATTCAGATTAACAGCAACCAAATTGCCGGCTGCAGTGCGGAAGGTAGCACCCCCAGTACTGGCAGTTACAATATTTCCACCACTGGTGACGATATTGAATTTGCGATTAGTATGCAAGAGATTCTGCAACACTTCATTGTTGGTTGGTTTACGTTGTTGCACGGTTGTAGTTGCCGCTGAGACAGTGGTTGGCTGTGTTGCCACCTGTACAAAACTATCACCACTAACAACGGTTTGATGTTGCTGCTGTTGTTGTTGTTGTTGAGGCGTCGAAGTTGTGTGTTGCACCAATGTGACAGTCTGATGTTGGCCAGTGGAAGTAGTGAAAGTGCCGCTTGCCACAGGCGTACTTGTCATTGCAGCAGGTGCGCTATTCAACAGACTGCGTATGGAAGCGTTGCTGCTATTCTTCACATTGCTGCTGCTGCTTACAGTGTTGTTTGCTACAATTAATCAATAGTGATAAAAATTGCATATAACATAGGTATAGGGTGGTAAATATTTACAGGATTGCTGCAACTGCTGTTGCTGTTGCTGCTGTTGTTTTTGTTGTTGGAACTGATTGGCGCTATTCATGATGTTTGTGAAGATTGCATTTATCTCAGGATTGGTGTGTAATGTAGTGGAATTACTACTATTGTTACTACTGGCAGTACTCTGTTGCTGTTGTTGTTGTGCAGATTTATGCAAAAGCTGCTGTTGCTGCTGTGGAGTGAGTAATGGCGCGGCCTTCAGCTGCGCTTGCTACAATGGTCAGTGTATTATGTAAGTACAAAAAAAGAAATATTGGGTAATGAATTTAAGTAAATAAAAAAATAAATTGAGCAACATACCAATATTGGCACGCTGGAACTGAGTTGTGTGCGCAGTGCTGAATTTGCACCAGCAACGGCATTCAATTGAGCCGCCGTGATCACTTGAGTCTTTTGCTGTTGCTGTTGTTGTTGCACGTTGGCAGGTTGTATAGTGATGCCAGCATGTTGTAGAGTTTGTGTTTGTTGTTGCTGTTGATTTTGCGTTATGGGATGTTGTTGCACTAACACTAGAGAACCGTTGCTGAGACTGAGTTGCGTTGTAGTGTGCGCATTACTACCGCCCACCGAATGTAGTTGTATGTGTTGTGTTTGCTGTTGTTGTTGCTGCTGTTGCTGCGCATGCACACCGCTCGTCTGTACGTGCATCGTTGAGCCGTTCGCATCTATAAATTGGGTTGTAATTTGCTGCTGCTGCTGCTGCTGCTGTTGTTGTTGTTGTTGTTGCTGCTGCTGCATTTGCTGTTGGCGCAATACTTGCTGCACCGCGGCAGCATTGCTGGCAGTTAACCCGACAATATTGATATTCTTCGACAAATTGCTGCCAGTTGGCGTAATAGCAATATGTTGCTGTTGTTGTTGCTGTTGCACACTACCACCAACTCCGCAAACACTTTGTGACACTTGCTGTAGACCGACAGTGTTTATATGCTGCACAGTGGCGGGCAATATGTGTTGCTGCTGTCCATTCGGTCCTACCAACACAACGTGCTGTTGCTGCTGCGTCTGTTGATTGCCACCTGCTGTTGCTGATGCAACGGTCAAGTGTTGAGTATTCACATTTGCGGTTGAAGCATGTTGCACATGCGGTTGTTGCTGTTGCTGTTGTTGTGCTGCTAATAGAGCAGCTTGCCGTTGCTGCAGCAACAGAGCTTGTCGTTGTTCCGGTGTTATCCCCGTATGTGTTACCTTAGGCAAGTGACCTGGCATCAAATGCGTGATTTTAACCGCCTTGCGCCCCTCTTCGGTGAAAATCTCTGTGAATTGTTGTATGTAGCGATTCGCATGTATGCGTGTACCTAACGAAAAGCGACACGACTCGCCATTTCGTTCCCCCTCACGATAATCACGATCAACATACAGCTCACCCAGGTACTCGGAATTTGAGGGTCGTTGGAAAATCGAAAGTTTTATGTGATATATCACACGACGTCCAGCATTTTCTTCGCGTTCGGTTTCCAGCACATACTCCTCGATCAATTGCGGCTGGCAATCTGTTGTTTCGCGTGGCCGTTCGTAGGTTTTGGCATACTTTTCCACACTTATTAGCTGCTCGGGCACCTTTAGATTCGCTGGATACTCTAGACGTGGCGGTCGAATAGGTCGTATGACGTCACGCGGACGACGTGGCACTTTCGACGAGAATGACGTGAGCATGGCACTCACCAATGGATTATTACTGGGTGCTGTTGCCGCTGTAGTATTGGCATTTGCACTACTACTGGTGCGTGGTTTGGCGCGTAAACGCGTCAAATAATCACACAACTCCAGTCCGTAATGATGTGTGAACTGATCCAATTTCCGTTTTCGATTTATCGATATCTGTGTATACTTCTTCATTTGTCTCCGCATCTCGTGTGTATTAAATAGTTGCCGTGCATTCTGAGCATTGATGGCGAAACGCCCAATATTAGGATCGGGATCTAGACACAACGGTTCCGCAGTTGCCAACACCAACTGACTTTCTAGTTGTAGTTTGTCCTCTGCGCCACAAATTGCTGCACCAACCATTGAGGGTATTGTTGGGCTTATGCTCATATTCGTTGTGCTTGCCAAGTGCTGGATATCAGAAAAAATGGTAGCATTTGTGGGCCGCAGGAGGACGTGTTTCGTATCACAGATATTCGTCGAAATAGCGAAGGTTTGTCGAAAATCTCGTATTTGCGCAATCACGCAGCCAGCGTAAAATACATTCGGCTTAGCATAGGTACGGGGTTCGCTATCATCTTGAGAAGCATTCAGTGTGAGGCTAGGTGCATTTAACATGTCAACTAGAAAGTCCGGTATTACCTCACGATCGATGCACTGCAGCAACTGATCGTTCTCGTAGGGCCAACGCAATACTTCGATTAAAGCGAATTCACTTTGTTGGCTATTATCATCAGCCCTACCGGCTGCTTTCAGCTTTAATTCAGCTGTACTATCAAAGTCGGTGCCGCATTTTAAATCTGGCGGTATGGAAGCTAAACTCATTTTATTACTACTGTTACCGCTACATGTATTCCGACTAGAAGCACCTCTATATATGTTGGCAGAGGAGCTGATACCCATGCCAGCTATCCCACTTTCAGTACCGCTAACGCCCGGTACATTGCCGGACGCCTCGCCACCATGCACTAATTCACCGTTAGCTGTCAACAACTGCCGCTCATCATAATGTAATGCTAATGAGTATCCTTTATTACCAGGGTATAGGTTTACAACGATAGTGTTCAATTTTTCGCTCTCCACTAAACGTTCCAAAACAAAAGCACGTGAACGCTGCTTGAGCTGCAAAAAGTAAGAAATTTATAATTATAATTTTAAAGGTTTGTTTTTATTTTTCCTTTTTTCATTTTCATTATAGCTGATGATTTGTAAGATGGGTATGAAATTTAGTTACTTAACGTCGAAATTGTAGATAATTCACAAAGTCACATGCTATATTATAGTAGAACATATACTTACCCCAGTTTCCGTAAACGCATTTAAATCATTAGCCAACAATTGCAAATAATTTTCTCGAATCTTATCATGTATGTTGAAAAACTTAGATGACCCTGTCGCCGATGTTGTTCCACTAGAACCAGTTGTTGTTGTTGTTGTACAATTGGTTGGCACAGTGTTGTTACCATCGCGTTTGTTAGTTGACGCACGCGTCGTAGATGTTGATGGTGATGATCGGCTTGTTGCATCTTTAGAAATTTTCTGCCGCTTACTAGGCGAAGAAGTTGGCGATGAAGATGCGACCGCACCTGCCAATGGCGACGATGTATTTAACAAATGCTGCGGTGGATGATGATGCGTAGATGATTGCTGGTAATGGTGTGAGTGATTGCTGTGCTGTTGTTGTTGCTGTTGAGTACTTAAAGACGCGGAAGGACGTTTATCAGCCTTTTTGTTAGTGTTATTACTGGTTATTGTAATATTATTATTGTTGCTTTGATGCGTTACTGTTGTTGTAGAAAATTGTGATGCCTGCGCTAAAGATGTTAGAAATGCATTTGTTCCGATGCCACCATAATTGGTATTAGCAGTTGAATCGCCAAGTGATGATGAGGAATTTACGCCCGGCGGTGTTGATAATAATAAATCGGGCACTACCGGCGATGGTGAAGTGATCGAATTAAAATTGGAAAGATTTGTAGATGATGAGCATGATGATGGAGATGGCACCGCAGACGAAGTATTTGCATGCGTTGATGTTGTCGCCGATGGTTCTGCGAGTAGAACAATTCCGTCCAAGCTACCGATATTACCGCTGCCACCACCAACACTACTGCTACTACTAGTTGCGAGTATTTCAGCAGGCGGAACTTCACTGGGCGATTCAGTCCCATCATCGAAAATACAATACGGCGGTTGGCTAGGAATTTGTGTGATGTTACAATGTAGCAGACTGGAGTCAAGCAACGAACTTTTCGTGGGAAATGTAACGCTGCTCAATGGTGCTGGTGGTGGCGGTGGTGTTGTGAGCTGTTGTGGTTGCGGTGACGGTGCAGGACACTGCAGTGCGGTCTGTAAGTTTTGATAATGGGGGTACTGCGGCTGCTTGGTTTGTGAAGGAAGAGAAGAATGTTGTTGATAGATTAGTTGCTGGTGAGAATGTTGATGCCTTAGTATGCTGCTGCTGCTGCTACCGCTTGAATTCAAAGATGTTAAAGCTGCAGTTGTCGAATTACTGTTACTATTTATGCTAGTGTTGGAGCCTTTAAGCTTTTTAAGCGTGTCATTTATTATAAACTGCAATTATAAAAATACAAATTAAAGTTTCAATATACATATATTTTATAGATTTTTATCTAATTATTGTATACTTACATCAGCTTCTTGACATGATGAATCCAAGCTTTGCATGGTGCCAGTAATTCCTTCCTATTACAGTAAAACCTAATCACCGACGACATTCAAATTAAATTCAATTTTCTCGAATTGTGCATTAAATCAGGCGGCTATTTATCTTGAATTTAACACACTAATTTAATTGCAAGATTGATTAGTTAGTTTGGTTAAAACTACTCAGTACTCACTCGACTCAAGCATAAGTTGTATTATAATAATCAGAGGATTTACTTCAGTCTATAGGAATGACGTAGTGTTTGCAATTCTTTCTATATTTCTTTTTTAAACCGTATATTAATAATTTACACAACTTACAATTCAACAAATTAATAATATAATGGCGCGGAAAATATAGTCAGCAGGATTTCACTGTTATGGGAGTAATTAGATGATTTTAGTCAGTTAAATGAAAGTTATTATATCTTGGCATTTTAGAAATGACACTGGCTATTGAAACTGTATTTTTGTTTAATATTTCTCGCTTAGTTTTTTCGTGTGGTAGCGCTGGCATAGTGGCAAGTCTGAAGAATAATTACCTCAACTGTTGTTTCTTTGTTAAGATGTTTTTAATAGTCTAAGGTATTTTTACTAATGCTAACAAATTATGGTGGGTAGATAGCACAGTATAGTACCATTGCCTCTAGTTTGCGCTTTTCACTTTTCGCCTCTTTTGATTAAGTAATTTTTTATATTTTCGTCGGTATTTTAAAATACATATTTATGTATCCTTCAGATTTGTTCCGGTTTATATATTATTATTAAATTATTAGAGGTATGCCGTTTCCTTTGTAGTTGTCTTTTTATTTAACCTTTGAAGGTGTTACAGAGCCGGGAGTTAATTTGCGCTCCACAACCGTTTTACGTATACGCTTTCTTAAGTAGTTTCCTTCTTCTTTTTCTTGTACACCAATTTCCTTCAAATTACACGATATTCTTTTACCACTTTTTGACAAACTGTCTTATTTTATTCAATTGTTTTTTTTTATACTATAACAACTGCTTCCCTTTTTGTATTAATTGCTTATTAACCGTTTTCTTTAGTTTTTTGGTTTGTTTTGCTCTTCAATTTGTTAATGAAATCTGAAAATTTAAGAAGAAAATGATAGATTATATTATGACAAAATTAACTCTGCATAATTATGACACTATGAATATACTTAATAATTTTAGAGAATGAAATAGCAAATATTTTATTAGGAATACATTATAATCTATTTAGAAACGTTACGAATTATTTTTGCATAATTATGTTTCATTTGATTTCTATCTGTAAACACATACACATTTATCTGAAATCAGTACATTATAATGGACAATACAAATTATCAGCTAAATATTGTTACATGTATTTTTTTCTTTTGAAGGATATTTTGTTTTCACATAAAATGTTAACCAAATCACAACATATCGCGTAACTTTAAGTACACAACGAGGTTTAATAATGTCCATTACGCTTTTATATTTCTGACCTAACAAAAGCACAGTTAAAACGGTCACAAACCGCTAAAGAAATATTTAATGCACTTATAAATATTTTCGATGTACTCTTGTATTTATTTTAAAACGATACCTTTAAAAATATTTTTCTTTATGAAAATGTGAAAAAGTTTTGCAATGTTTGCATTTGACACGATTTTCATGATTTCCCTTTTGTGTATTTTCTTCGCTCTCACTCAGCACAAAGTGAGTGTTGCCACAAAAGTCACAACTAAAATTAATATTTCTGAATATTTTAGGATATAACAATATAACTGTTTCATGAAGGAAGCTCCACTACTTTGCGCTCAACGTTATTTCAAATATATTTTATTTTTATTCTTTAAAAAAATAATACACTTAATAAAATTGGTAATCAAAATATTCTTTTTTTATTTAATACTCTAAATATTTAAAAAGAATTTCTTATAAATTATGATTATTGTTATCACAAATAGAACAAAACTGTTAACGTTATATTTATTTAGTTAGCAGTTAAAAAATCACCTTGAAGAAAAGCTTGAGTTAACTTACAAAACTCAGCTAACTGAAAGCTCTATCAAAAACTTGTTGTCAACGGAAATATTTTTTGGCAGCCCAGTGGTTCTCAAGGGATCAGAGGAACCAAGATGTTGACCAATTTCGCAGGCTTATCATTTTAGAATGTAACTTAATTAATTACGTGGCAACACTCACTAACTTCAATCAAACCAATGTCCTGTCAACATACCATGCTGCTTCCATTATTTTTTCTCTCGCCGTCGCTGTTGTTTATTTGCCCAACTCTTCGGTTTGTCTGCTTAAAATTTCACAAAACTTTGCTCTTTTAATTACAATTTAAATCAAATATCTTAACTTATCACATCTGAAAGTATAACTGGATGATTGACGTCTTAATTTATCATTGGGCATATGTAACTTTTTCCTTATTTGTCACTGCCTCGTCGTGGTTTCGGTGTCGCATTCGTGTTAACACCTTTTCTATTGTTGTACACTTATTACATTTTTATCCTCTTATTGTTGTATTCAATATACTTCCTTTCTTGTTTTTCGTCACTTTGCTTTTATATACGGTTTGTTTTGGTAAAACTTATATTCGCGCACCGTGCAAAATTGTTTATAAAACAAAAAATACAAACCCAATACTTCGTTTGTATTCTGCTTTCACGATGTCTCTTCATCCGAGTGAATTTCACTTTATTCTCGTCTTGCTTTGTGCATTCAGATTTGACTGATGTTTCTGACAGTTCTCTTTATCGTTACTTTTCGTGAACGACACACTACTCGCTATTCATGGCGATTAAGTATCTTCAGAGCGAAATTGCAACTGAGCCAGTGTTATACTAGTAAAATTATATGAGTATTGCAGCGCATTTGAACATATGTAAACGACTGCAATGAATATGTAATACATATGTTAAATGCATTTGTCTCTCTCTATCTACCATACACTAGGTCAAATTTTATTAACAGCTTCTGCTAGATGAATGAGAGAACGGTTCTGAGTAAAATCATCTCTAAAGGAATGTAGTGAAATTTTAATATCCTGTTGACTTCTAATTATGTTAGTAAGTTTATTTTAAGAAATTATTTGAGCATAAGCATGTACTAATAATTAACTATTATTGGCTAATAATATACATATGTATATATATATAAATATTCATTTTCTATATTTATTAAAACATTATTGAGTTACTATTAACATATTTAGAGGCTCTTCCTCTACAAATACATAACATGTTTAAAAAATGTCTGTCAATTTATATATTTATAAAATTAATTTAATTTATATTAGCTTACATAAAACGTTATATACATAAAAACTGTGAATCAGCTGTTTTTGGAATTCATACCGACTTATATTCACAGCGGATAATGAAACTGATAAAATAAATCAGCTGATTACAGAAAAGGTTGCCGTTTCTTATTGAATTCTATTTATTTAATATGTTATACAGCAAAAAGGATTAAAACAGTTCTTAGATAATTATGTAGTATTTTTAGGATTGTTTTTTCGGAACCTACGTATTCACGCAACCGCAGAAAAATTAAAGGGTTATCAAAAATTAAAGGGTGTTGGAGGCACCAGGGTTATATTGTTAAAACAAGGTCGAAGGCCACCAAAGCAAAAAGAATTATGAAGCCAAAGGACTAAGGATAACCCGGTGTTGAAATAACCAAAATTATAATAATATCCTTTAAAAATATTTTTAATTTTCTGTACACTGATTGATGGGTATACATATATTAAGAATAATTTATTAAACCCCTAATATTTAAAATATTTTCAGGTTAACAAGTAGAATTGATATGAACATAGTTTTCAAATACTGTGTATCGTATATTTGTCGACGTTTTGATTTGTCGGAGTCTTAAATTTCGAGATTTTAACTCTCGGCATTACGTTATACACCCGTTTTTAAGATAATAAATGAGGATGCACCGCGACCTTATGCCCTCTACTAAATCTCAAGGACTCCCTTTGCCTCATCATATTTTTAAGTCCAATATTCTGCTGGGTGCTAGTGAGGCGATGCGATACCTATTCGGAAACATGGATCCAAGGGCCTTAATCCTGCATCCACAGACCGCTGTGCAGCCGATTAGCAGATGTTTCAGGCTCCCTTTCGCAGAACCGGCAGTTAGCGCAAAAGGATAGGCCCATGTTATATAAATGCCTATTCAGCTTGCAGCGGCCGGTGTAAAATGCGACCAGTAGCCTGAGTTTGTTCCGAGGGAGGTTAATGCTGTCACACGGAAGGAGGGCCAATGGTATATTGACACTTAACTCTTTTATCCTCTGGACGGGATTACTTTACCTTTGCCACACCCCTCTGCTGTTATTTGCAGAAGTGTGTGCATGGCACTTCCAGTGCTGCCGTCGGACAGGTGCACATTGCACCCGCTATGCAGAAACAAACTAGTCTTTGCAGTTTTGATAGTTGGAGCCCCACCGAAGTCTGCGACGCTCCGTACGTGATTATCGGTCGCACAATCATGATGTACAACCAACTAACGATCCTTGCACACCATTCATGCTTTTGTCGCTATGACCAAGGTCAGGTCTATACGCTACATCCACCGCAAAATGGAATCCAGAGTGAAACCAAGATATTTGACTCATGTTTTTTTTCTTAAGTACGCTTAAATTGAAGTCGGTCAAGCAATTATCAATGCAGTTTTTAAAACATTTTTATCATTTACAAATAATTTTGGGTAAGTTTCTTCAATTTATGCATATTACAATATATTTGCAAATTAGTGTATATTTAGCTTGTTCTGTAAAAGGGCAGAAGCAAATCTTGTGAAGAAAGTACGATAGTATTATGCGCGATGATGAGAACTCTTTCTTTGAGATTTCGTAAATGTTAATGCAATTTTTTAAAACCCACAAAACTACAGCAAAAGTGCTACATAAGAAAATACCACGTATAATCACCGTTAGAGATGATAGTTCCCACGACCTTCGGGTCTAAGTAACCAGAAGGGAGCTGGATTATTTTTTGGCAAAATTACTTCAGGAACGTTTTTTGCTGCTACAACAAAAAATAGCAAATCGTGTGCGAATAAAAAAAAATAAACAAATGGAAAATTTAGAACGGCATCCGCGAGTGAAGTTTGACCTCATATACACAGTGCCCCATCAGCCCAGTATATTTTTATTCTGAGAGATGTAATACTTTAATATTTCGACGGCAATATGAATGTTACTTGGGTGCTTCAGCTAGATAACGAACTGAAACATACTGCGAAGAGTCACAGTTGGTTGGACGATTATGTGATTTCTTTATTGACCGGCCTTCGTGCAATCCAGACATTAACTGAATTTACAATCTATGGGAGCAATTCAAAACGAAGGCTCGGTTGCACAAGGTCGAAATTTTCACCGAAATGAGAAAAGCTAATTGAAACAATGCTTGCAGATTTAAAGCAACAAATATTATTTCTCCCATAAAAAAAATGTATAACAAGTAGAATATAATTAAATTTACAAACTACATATTATTTAAGAGCGTTGAAATGTCGGTTAATCAATCTGTAAAAATTTATCTAGTGAACTTTTCGACTCGTGAATGGTTGCATGATTCACATAGCAACATTGCTAATAATTAAAATTAAGTTCTTGAATGGAAACTTTATTTGTAAAAGATATTATTCATTTCGACCGGAAACGAGCTATTTCGACAACGTTAGACCAGTGAAAAAAGGATTGTTTTATTATTGCATTTCAGAAGTATAAATGTATATTTAAGATAAGGCGTTTCTTCTGAATAGGTTGGTTAAATAGTTGTCGTTGTTAAATCAAATTTAAAACGAGCACTTTTATTTCAAACGTTCATTTTCATAATTTCAAACAAATGTTCGCTCTTTACAGTATTTAAAGGTTTTTCCCTTTCCCTTTTTATAAACATAAATAGAATCGAAGACGTAGTGGGTTAACAATGCTAATACAGGCAATGCAAGGTTTACCACATTAGGGACCGATTGTAATGTTATGGTTAAAGTTGACATTTTAAATGTACACTTAAATCTATCAACAGAAACTGATAAACACCTGTTATTGATAATAATAGAATAATTTGTAATTGGAACGAAACATTTTGCTATCTAAAACAATCCGCATATTTTCTGGGTATCATGAATTCTATTTTATTATTATAAGAAAGTAACATTGTAGAAAAATGAAATGTTGATACATTTAATATTAACATCAATGGCAACTATAAAATTTAAAATGACTGCAAAAAAACTTACCATTATTTACTCTGCTATTTAAATCCAATAATTTAATGTCCTGAGTCTTTATAATATAAACATTTGAATAACATATCTGATTTTACTTTCAAATATATTGTTCCATTGCTCACAATGTTCCGTGATTGCAATTTCTTGACAGTCCAACTCTCTCACGTCAATGGCGACTCTATTATAGTAGCACTCTTTTATTCATGCCACTGTTTATGAAAATGAAAACAAATAAACAGATGAGCAGCAATTCACTCGCGATGTTTGTTCGTAATGTATATTTCTTACGTTTTCGCACGCACGCATGCACATATCATACACACTTTTATACGAGGTGATGCACAGAGGCACAGAAAATCACCAAATATATTGTGACTGCGCATCGGAACGAATACACTGTAATGTTTTTAATACCGAATATGTGAATAGTTCTTCACATTCATAAGCATCGAGTATATACTACGGAGCGAGATAACACTATTTCACAGCAGCTGTGCGAAATGCTACGCAAGACGCTCGAGGGGCGAAATTGCGGTTGCGACTGTGGCTGCTACTGCAGGGTACTTGTGTGGGAAACGCCGAACAATTTTCGTCTACAAGTATTTCTCACATAAAATTCTGTATAATGTTTTGTTTGCTTGTACACGATTTCACTCATTCACAATAAACAACCCATAGAATTGTCATTCTGTACACTTCGCAATAGTGTACACAATCTCACGAATTGCGAAAAAATAACGCAATTATGGAGAAAACGACAACGATGGAAATACGACCGAAATCGCTTCACAAACTAGTCTGGCTCGTTTCGACCGTTTGCTGTTAAAGCGAAGGATTCCTTCTGGTTATGAGTGGAAAAGAGATGACATATTGTCGGTAATAATAACATTTTTGATTACCACATGGGTATGGCGTGTGTCAGAAAGAAATCGAATAATTGTGAAGTTATATGAATTCGCCGCAGGTGTTTTTCTCGTTCAACGATGACAGATCGAGACAACGAGTACAAATGACAGCTCGATAATCGAACGAATATGGCATGTTCAGTGGAAGAGCTGTTAAATTGTGATATTTTTGTTTGCGTACTGAAATATGATATTGTATTTATTGTTCAGAAATTATATGCTCTTTATGTAAATAAATTTTGTTGTAACCTTTAAGCTGAAAAAGTATATGTTTAATTTAAAAAATCTACAACATTATGTTTTCTGAGAATTTTACAAGGTTATGGAAAAACGAGCAACGTTAATATTGACTATTAATTTAAGAAAGGTAGCAATTATTTTATTTTTGAGATTTTATTAATGAAATTTATTTATAAAAAATTACTTTAATCTTATTATTCCGAAATATATTATATTATTATTAACATTTGTTAATTTCGTTGCAAGATTTCTTAAATCCCAAGGTTGCCTTAGTTTGTTGTGACATAACTACAAATATAGTTAGTGATAT